AAGCATGAAAATGCTATGTGCCTCCTACACCTGTAATGGATGAAACAGTGACCAGTAACAGCCTAAGCGACTGACAAAGTAGAAAATATATCTTAAGAGACTAGAATCAGAAAGTGACAAGAAAAAAAAAAAGGATGTGGAAAATGAGACTTCATTAAGGAGAGAGTTTGTTACATTTCATACAAAAATAATTTTTACACCTATGCTAACTTTTTTATTATTTCAAGCACTCCCTGACAGGTCAAGAATATTCTTTAAGGCAAAGAGATTAAAACAATAGAAACATGGCTCCAACCAAAGCAGGAAACTAAAATATATGCCCTTCAGAGAAAAAGGAAAGCACAGATTCTGTCCTAAGAGCTCTCAGTCTACTTTTACTAATATACATTGGATGAAGTGGTACTTACCTATTACAGACAGCGAGAGTTGACTTTGTTATTTAATCTATAAAACCAGTTTTCTGAAATGTCAAAGTAATTATTGACAATGATTCTTGAAAACAGTCATGAACATACAGCAATAAAAGTTCAACATAAAGATACTGGACTGAGTAAATTGTGCAGGAGTACTGCTTTAACAGGTTTGGAACCTAAGGATGTAACTGCTTGATTCATTGCTTGTTACAATCCATCAAAGTTCCTTGATTTATCATAGCTCTTTGTTGTCTCCAAGAGATTTAGTGAAAGTTTTTTTCCACTACTTTGCACAGCTTTTCTAAAGCTGACAGGCACACAGCCGAAGAAATCCATGGTAGTGCCTCTTTTTGTGTCCTGTAAGTCTTGCTGGACTCGCTTCCATGCTGCAGGTAAGGTAGTAACTCAAAAAGTACTGAAGTTTTCACTAAGTAAATCACTTCAGAATTACTCTAGTATAATTGCATATGTGAATAACTGAAAGAAAACTAAAGTCAGAAGGCATTTAAAATTAATAAATAAATAAAAAATTTTGATGTTCCTGTAATGAATTTACTCAGCTACAGAAGCAGACTGTCATGTTCCAAAATACATTAAATTCCTCTATATACCATCCTCTTGCCAAGGCCCCATCTGCAATAGGGGAGCTTTCTTCACTCTTCATGACCAGGGAAGGTCATCAATCCAAACCCAGAGGCACAGAAGGCTGGCTTGTTTCTCTGTTTCAGCCTGATCACGAGGTGATAGAGACCTGTAAACACCCCTGTGGTGGTAAAGCTGCAGTTTCAACAAGAGCATTATTATACCATCAACTGTGAGTTTACATAGTCTATGTTCTACCATCTCCAATCCTACATATAAATGAGAAAAGAGTTAAGTCCTTTGCAGCTTCACTTTAATTTTCCAATTTTGAAAAGCTACTCATTATCAGTCCTGCAAAAGATGAGCAGAAAACTAGGAACTTAAAGGGACAGAAGAATAAAACTGACAGTGATATTAAAGGGATATCAAAAAACAAAGACTGGACATGAAAATGATAGCCATGGAAAATGCCATAAGGTACACAGACTATACAGCAGGATCCTGAAACCAAGATCATTCTAGTGAAACGCTGGGATTGTCCACAGGAGAGCAATTAAAGGATCTGACTGATAGCTGTCACGAAGTCCTTAAACAAATTGTTTTCATATCCCTGTATAAAACAAAACATTTAAGAAAACTCCTATATCCACTTTTTGCTTTTTGACAACATCATTAAAAGTGCTGGACTTCATGAAAAACATTGATAAGTGTTATATTACCCAATCAAAAAATAATATGAACACAGGAAAAAAAAACACACCAAACTATCAGTTTCTAATTCATATGCTGCAAAACTGTTTTTCAGTTACATTTAGACAGACAAATTCACAAATGGAGGACCTTTTTAAAGTCATAACCTAGCACACACTGAAAAAAACCACAAGACTTGCAATCCAGAAATTGGACTGCAGCTCTACCGAAGTTTCTATTTCAGTAGTTTCCATTTAAAAGAGCTTCAACTTGTGTTTAATCTAGTCCTTCTGGCTTTTTCAAGGTGGGGAAACAGCGTATGCCATGTGTACACAGTACAGAAAGACGATCTTATGTATGAAACAGTGAGAGATTTGAGACAGATGTTTAGTTTCCAATACTGTTACAAATCTCTTCAATGATCCTCGGTAAATTACTTCACCTCATTAAGTCTCAGTGCTTAGTCACAGAGTTGTGAAGATAAACTGGTTAATGCTGTTAGCTATTCAGAATTGAATGTTTAAGTAAAAACAAACAAAAAAACCCACCACACAAGTCAAGTAAAGAACTACTGGTAAAGAACAGGTCAGACGGACACCCAGCCCTAGGAACGCAGAAAATGGAACTTATGGGACCAAGTTCTCTGATGTTCATTAATTCTCAAGCAGGTGCCCTTAGGAATCAAGTTCAGTGTAATATCTTTATTGTGTGAATGATCCAAGAAAAGGATACATTCAGACTTGTAATGAACATAAAAATCTTAATGAAACTGCTACCTTGTCAATTAGGTATAGGCTGAGACAGCCAAAAATAACAGGAAGAGTTGCAGTAGAGTGAAGAGCATGCATCTACTATATAAACTCTTGGAGTAAAGATGTAAAAAAAAAAAAAAAAAATCCTGTATGTAGAGTGGGTGAACAGCAAACAAAAACTTGAACAGGCTTCCTTTGCTCTCGTGAGCTTCTGAATCACCAGGAAAAAGTAAGACTGGTGGAGTCAGCTGCTTGTTAGTGTGAACCAAGACAGTCAGTCTTACCTGCCCCCAAAAATGCCAGCACCAAAAAGCGATACAATAACAATGCAAACTAACTTTTCTCAGCCCTTACAGGCTTTGCACATACGTATTCTCATGCTACTAATGAATACAATTCTTTAACCTCAACAACTAACCTTTAAAGTGTCATGCTTCATTAACTGAGGTGCAACACAACAAAAAGGCTTGCAACTGCAGGCACACACAGGCAAGCAGCAATGCTGCACTAGTGGAACTCCCTCAATCAAATGCTATACAAGGCAGCAAGTCATGAGATTTTATGCTTTAGAGTGGTCCAAC